AAAAGTTTTATGGGGAAACTAAACAGTAGAAGAGGCATTTGTAAATTCAGGGAAGCTTAAAGGTCTTGGGATGTAAAAGTCAAAGGTCTCTTGTGGATCAGGGTTTCTCAGCTTAGGCCCTGTGGAAATTTGGGGGCCAGGTCTTTTTTCATGATGGGGGCCTGTCCTGTGCATTGTAGGATGTTTAGTGACATCCCTGGCCTTTGCCCACTAGGTGCCAGTAACAACCTCTTTCCAACCATTAGTGTCCTGACGATCAAAAATGCCTCTAGACACTGCCTACTGTCCTCTGAGGGGCAGAATCACCACTAGTTGACAACCACTGCTGTAGAGAGAGGTACAACGAAATAAGCATGCTCCCAAAAGAAACTTATGGACCTTTAAGAACTTTACAAAGAAATGAATGAAGAGAGAAACTACAGCTGAGAGCAGAAATGGGTAATTGCAGTTGTCTTGCTTTGTTGCAATTTTTTCAGTTCCAAAGCAAGCCCTGTGTGTTTAGTGGGCGCTCAGGGAATCCTACAGGGTAATGTAGGACTTCTCTGCTTTCTGAGGACTGCGGCAGTCCTGGTAAGCATTCAATCCTCTTTACCTTCTGTAAAGGTAATCAGTGAGGGCCAATCACAAGGAGCAGACATAGAGGCAGGAAGCAAATCTGGGCTGAGCCACTGGCTGGGTCAGGAGGGGTTGTGGAGAAGGAAGAGAAGGGAGACCTTCTCTTCTGTTGGTCGTGGGACGGTTCTGTGGGCCAGACTCTGGGAAGTAGTGGCAGAAAGCTGAGGAACAGGCTCTACTGCAGTCTCGATAATGAAGACCAATGCATGCGTCCTAAACTGAGTTACCTCCAATTCTCACCTCTTCCTCTGTGGCTGCACTGGAGGAGGCATAGGCACTGCTCCTTGGGACTGCTGGCCTGCTCTCCTATGCTCTAGAGAACTCAGTGCAGCATCCCACATGCCTCACCTCCACCCAGCAGCCTCACTCATGACCTGCATGGGGCAGACGTCACCAGTATCTTTCAACAGCTTCCCCTCTGACAGTTGTCAAAGGAAACAGAAGGCAGCAAAGATGCGGAAGCAATGACTAGGATTTCAGGGTGTGAAACAAGCACTCTCTCCTTCGAAAGCAACCACAACAATCTTGAGCAGGAACCAGCAGGCAGAGGCACCCTCGGTGGCTGACCCTTCTGTCGGGCGTGACCTACGGCATCCTGTATTTTGATCACACGACAACCACTTCAGTTCTGTGTCACTCCTGGTCCTCATAAATGGAGAAACAGACATGCCTGTCCTGAGATCCCTTACGGGGACATGTACCTGTCTGAACCATGTTCCTGTGTTCAGCACTATCCTTGAGAGAGTGGGACATCTGAGCCACCTAGGCGGCTCATCTACTTGTTACAAATATTTTAGGCAGAATAATTCAAGCTAAAGCGAACATCCTTGGAACTTCTGAAGGGGAAAAGAACTCAAAATGAATGGGGCAATAAAGAACTAAGGAGAGGCTTTGTCTTGTAAATGACCATGGGCTGAAGCACATGTATGAATTACATGCCCCGTTTCTTGGTTTCCCAAGGCAGCCAGAGCGGAGTTCTGTTCACATTGTCTTGAGCTGGGGCTTGCAGGGGTAGTCAGAGCAGCATCAGCAGCAAGTTAGTTCCACAGCTTATCTGAGCTCAGTGACAACAAACTCTTCTGGTCTTACAGAGGACCAAGAATTGTTCCAGGATGGGGGAGTGAAGGAACCCTTAGGAAGCAGGCGTCTTCTCCCCTCAGAACACTGACCACTATACCTCCTGTTTGATGCCACATCATCCCCACCCTACCCCACCTCCTCCCTACATCTCTCTTCACCAGCAGGATAAAAGAACACAAGCACTTGTTTATGGCCAATGCCCAGAGCTGGCCCTCTGGGCACCAAAGACCCTGAACGAAATAAAACACATAGGAGATGGAGAACAAAAAGGGGCAGAGGGCACTGAAGCTTGCGGGCCTAACTTCCTGATTTCCTGTGGGCACGTGACCTGTGAAAGGACCCCTTAAACAACTGGACACACAAGAAATGGGGACATATCAAAGTGTTTTCCTTACAAAACTTAGTTACAGGGATGACTCATTTCCTTATCTTTAAGTTTACAGATGTTGTAAGAAAAAGCAGGAACCGTGGTGACTTTCATATTAATAGACAGCATGGAGATTTCATCGCTGACAGCAGGAGGCTGAGAGTTGTTACATAATTCCACAAATGAGACGGACACTATTCATTCCATTCCAGGGTTCATGAAAGACTTCCCCTGAGAGGCCGGGTGCAGTGGCGCACAGTTGTAATCCTAGCACTTTGGGAGGATGAGGCAGGTGGATCACCTGAGGTCAGGAATTCAAGACCAGCATGACCAACATGATGAAACCCTGTCTCTACTAAATACAAAAAGTTAGCCAGGCGTGGTGGTGCATGCCTGTAGTCCCAGCTACTTGAGAGGCTGGGGCAGGAGAATCGCTTGAACACAGGAGGCGGAGGCAGTGAGCCGAGATTGCGCCATTGCACTCTAGCCTGGGCAACCAGAGTGAAACTCTGTCTTAAAAAAAAAAAAAAAAACACTTCCCCTGAAAAATTACAGAGGTGAAGGGTGAAGAAGGCTCCTTTACTGCCACACATGAATGGCACAGGCCCAATAGGAAGACTCTGGAATCAGGAAGGCTTTCTTCCAGCTGTGAAGGAAGTATCTCTAAGACACTTCCTTGTGGAGACACTTCCTTGTCCATCACACCACAATGCTAGTCTGTGAAGCTAGCAGAAAAAGACCAGGGATCCCCAGGCTAGGAAGCTATGCACAAGGCAGGGCAGCTGTTGAAGGCAGGTCAAGTTCTAGAGAGAAGACTCTTGCTACTTAGGGCAGTGTTGCTTTTGCCTGGGATAGTTGGTAACAACCTGAGTCAACCATCTGATTATTCCAACCCTCTGGCTACTTATCCAGAGAAGATGGCCCTGTGATGTATAACAACTATGACCAATCATACGTTACATAGAGAAGATAAATTGAGTATGCGTTGGGGGCAGTGAGAGGTAACATAGACCTAAGACAGTGAAATCAATCATGCTAGCTGTTCTAATTGCAGAGTCCACCAAACTGTAATTAGAAGTCTTTGTATGCTTTCGCTGCTTCTTACGCCATCCAAGACTATAAAAGTTGTGCAATTTAAAATTCAGTAAAGATCAAAGCGGTTTCCAACTACTGAGATGAGCAAAACCCAGAGTCAACAGCTGTCAATCACTGTTCATCTTAAGGGCAGCACTGCAGGCAAGTGGTAGTCTGGAGATGAACATTATTTATTTTTGAGACAGAGTTTCGCTCTTTTTGCCCAGGCTGGAGTGCAATGGCCCGATCTCAGCTCACTGCAACCTCCGCCTCCCGAGTTCACGTGATTCTCCTGCCTCAGCCTCCCGAGTAGCTGGGATTACAGGCACATGCCACTATGCCTGGCTAATTTTGTATTTTTAGTAGAGACAGGGTTTTACCATGTTGGCCAGGCTGGTCTTGAACTCCAGACCTCAGGACATCTGCCCACCTGGGCCTCAAAAAGTGCTGGGATTACAGGTGTGAGCCACCGCGCCTCGCCCAGGATTAACATTACAAACAGCACAGCGATTTTGTTTGGTTTGACCACTCTGACAAACACCTTAAAAAGAGAATAAATCTGACTTACATTCTGAGCCACCAGAGTAGCCATGTAGCCGCTGCCCCATGGAACTCCCCCATCCTGCTTCCACCACTGTTTGCTCAAGCAGCAGCACTCACTAGTCCCATCCCCAGGAAGCAGGGTGCTTTTCTAGAAGCCAGGAACACTTCAGTGAGCAAAAGGTTCTATAAGTCACACTTACGTAGGAAGAATAGAGTTCCCCGGTCTCTGTAATTTCACCCGCCATTTCCAAAAGTGAGGAAGGGCTGGCAGCCGAGGTTCCTTAGGTGCAGGGGCGGCGGCTGCTGCAGCTCCTTAAAACAGAAGAGCGGAGTTCACCTATCGGATGGACTGAGATAGGGGTGGGATGAGGCTTGTAGACTTCCCCCACCACCTCTGGTTCTTTTATCACAGACACTTAGGGCCTCAGTATCTGTCACAAGACTCAACCCCGAGGGAGGGGTCACCCCGGATGACAGAAATCTGGACGATTTCTTCTAACTTTTCCCTTGCTGTGCATGGCACTGCTCTGTGCCCAGCACGGATGTTTTCAATGCAGCTCGGAGTGCAAGTGATTGAAGGGGCCTCTAAAGCCACTAAGTCTCACTCACCACAAGAGCCCCCTTTCCACGCTCTGGGGTGGTTATCCCCATTTAATTCCAGGAACCAGGAGCTCAGTACCACACAGGGGAGCCCAAGGAACTGTCTGCCGCCTCTGCTTAGGGCAGGGAGCTGGGGGCTTTCCTACATTACCCCTCCAACCCCACTTAAGGCCCTAAGGCCTTCTTTTCTTAACGGGGCCTCCACTCCCTGGCCCAATCTACTCTCTTAGGGTTCCCCACCCTCAAAGCTCCCTCTTTTCTCAAGAGCCCCACTCCCAGCCTCTCCCTCTCTCTGCCTCCTGGAGGAGTCCCGAGTCTGATGCAGCCCCGCCCCGCCCCAACCTATCCCATTCCGTCCAGCCCTCTCCCGCCCGTCCCGACCCGACCCGACCCCCACCCGACACCTGCAGCACAGCCAGCTCCGAAGCCACCACCTCCCGCCGGTAAGCTGCTGCCGGCGCCAGCTGTCCCTCACCAGCGTCCGCGGCGCGCATGCGCCCGCCCCGAAGCCCACCTTCTTCGGGCGCGCTGATTGGGCGCCAGGCGGGGGCGGGACCGGGATTGGGGCAAGGCGGCTGCCGTCAGCATGGCGGAAGTGGGCGGGGAGCGCTGTCACGCGCATGCGGGAGGGGCGGCAGCCGGTCGGGCCGGGGAGCGTGGCTGGTTGGAGGAGGTGGATCACCCCTTCTGCAGTGAACGACTTCGTCGGTGGTGGGTGGGTGTGAGCTTGGCAGTACCTGGGTCCGCGTGGTTGGAGGGTCGAGGAGAGTGGTCTAGAACGCCACTTAAAGGGGAGGGCCTGAGACTAAGCCCGCCTTACCCTGAAGTGGTCGGGGGCGGGGAGGAGGGAGTGGGCAGAGCCCCGTGGGGTGGTCGCCACGGTGAGGTTGGAAGCAGGTTTAAGGCAGGGCTGAAAGTTGACTCTGGGTTGGAATCCCTGGACTGGGGCAAGTAATGGGAGCTCTGGAGATAAGGCTTGGTACTTGGTGCTTGGGTTTGAGGAATCGAAGTTCTGGGGAGTGGACGGAAGGAACCGGCAGAAACGGAGCCCAGGCTTGGCCCCCTGGGGTGGGAGTCAAAGATTGTTTAATTATCCTTAACCAGCCCGGTTCTCTTTCTTGCAAGAATTTTTGGAGTCTGTATTCTCTGGAGTGTCTAGAAGGAAAGAATGACGTAAGTCAACTTAGCCCCAGCAGGAAAGCCGGAGCTCCCACCCAAAGTTGGAGGAAATTCAGGGTCCTGAAGTCTTTGCTCTCCCTATCTGCATGCAGGCTGCTACCATGAGGTTGAATCAGAACACCATGCTGCTGGGGAAGAAGGTGGTACTTGTACCCTACACCTCGGAGCATGTGCCCAGGTATCTTTCCTGCTTGACATAGGGTGCGTGGCAGCATCCAGAGCTGTGTAAGGTACAGCCCCAGTCTCAGGGCTGTTTCCCCTAAGAAGAAACATTGGTTGCGAGAAATAACTACATATGAGGGGGGAAAAAAAAGGCTGGGTGCCGTGGCTCACGCCTGTAATCCCAGGACTTTGGGAGGCTGTGGCAGGAGGATCGCTTGAGCCCAGGAGTTCGAGATCAGCTTGGGTAACGTAGCGAGACCTCGTCTCTACAAAAAATATAAAAATTAGTCAGGCATGGTGGTGCACAGCTGTAGTCCCAGCTACTAAGGAGGCTGAGGTGGGAGGATTGCCTGAGCCCAGGAGCTGAAGACTGCAGTGAGCTGTGATTGCACCACTGTACTCCAGCCTGAGTGACAGAGCAAGAACCTGTCTCAAAAAAAAAAAAAAAAAAAAGCCGGCACGGTGGCTGGCACCTGTAACCCCAGCACTTTGGGAGGCTGAGGCGGGCGGATTATGAGGCCAGGAGTTCGAGACTAGCCTGGTCAACATGATGAAATGCCGTCTCTATTAAAAATACAAAAAATTAGCAAGACTTGGTGGCAGGCACCTGTAATCCCAGCTACTTGGGAGGCTGAGGCAGGAGAATCGCTTGAACCAGGGAGTCGGAGGTTGCAGTGAGCCAAGATCACACTGCTGCACTCCAGTCTGGGCAACAGAGCGAGACTGCGTCTCAAAAAAAAAAAAAAAAAAAAAGGCCGGGGGTCTCACTCCTGTAATCTCAGCACTTTGGGAGGCTGAGGCAGTTGGATCACGAGGTCAGGAGTTTGAGATCAGCCTGGCCAACATGATGAAACCCTGTCTTTAAGAAAACAAAAAAATTAGCTGGGCTTGGTGGCAGGCACCTGTAATCCCAGCTACTTGGGAGGGTGAGGCAGGAGAATCGCTTGAATCAGGGAGGGGGAGGTTGCGGTGAGCCGAGATCACACCACTGCACTCCAGCCTGGATAACAGAGCAAGACTCTGTCTCAAAAAAAAAGAAAAGAAAAAAGGCTGGGCGCAGTGGTTCAGGCCTGTAATCCCAGCACGAGAGGCTGAGGCGGGCAGATCACAAGGTCAGGAGATCGAGACCATCCTGGCTAATATGGTGAAACCACGTCTCTACTAAAAATACAAAAAAATTAGCTGGGCATGGTGGCGGGCACCTGTAGTCCCTAATACTTGGGAGGCTGAGGCAGGAGAATGGCGTGAACCCAGGAGGCGGAGCTTGCAGTGAGCCAAGATCGCGCCACTGCACTCCAGCCTGGGTAATAGAGACTCCATCTCAGGAAAAAAAAAAAAAAAAAAGAGACCAGCCTGACCAACATGGAGAAACCCCGTCTCTACTAAAAATACAAAAACATTAGCTGGGTGTGGTGGCACATGCCTGTAATCCCAGCCTGGGCAACAAGAGTGAAACTCCGTCTCAAAAAAGAGAAAAAAAAAATTTAAAAAAAAAGGAAAAAAAAAAAATAGCAGCGGTGGCTCAAGCCTGTAATCCCAGCACTTTGGGAGGCCGAGACGGGCGGATCACGAGGTCAAGAGATCGAGACCATCCTGGCTAACACGGTGAAACCCCGTCTCTACTAAAAAATACAAAAATCTAGCCGGGCGTGGTGGCGGCGCCTGTAGTCCCAGCTACTCGGGAGGCTGAGGCAGGAGAATGGCGTGAACCCGGGAGGCGGAGCTTGCAGTGAGCTGAGATCTGGCCACTGCACTCCAGCCTGGGTGACAGAGCGAGACTCCGTCTCAAAAAAAAAAAATAGCAGAAGCTGGGGACTGTGACTTCCTTGGAAGGAGCTGCCCATCCTCTTCCTTTTCTTTCTCTCAGCTTTCTTTTTGGCCTTTCAGCAAGGAATTGCTTTATGTAAACTAAAATGTATAAGAAAAAGGAATTGTCTTTTCGCCTAATCATAAATTAGTGATGTTTCCCTGGTGCCAGGGATTATGTTCAGTTCTTGGAGACTTAACGTTAGCTTGTCCTTAAACTCTGAGCTGATGAGTTGTGATATATACCATTCGAAAGGCCAGGACCGAGTCCTGGTGGGATTCCTGTGGGGGCAATTGGCACATGGCTGGTAGGTTGGGATAGGGGTACTGTAGCTGGGTATTCTCCACTTGTAGTGTTCGGTTTGAGGGTTCCTGGTGCCCTAACTTTGTGGGGATCTGTCCAGCTGCCTTTGTTGAGGTCAGCTTGCCATATACTTCCCCTTCTGGAATTTGAAGAATGTTTGGTTTCAGACTGCTCCTCCGCACTGATCCGAGACGGGATAGGAAGTTGGACAGATAGAACTGACTCCTCCTGCTGTTCTCGTGTAAGACTAGCTTGCTTCTGGGTCTTGTGCCCGTGGCCCCTGCCTTAGGAGCAGTCATAACCGTTTGGGTCTTCTTTGAGCCCTATGTTAGCCCTGTGGGGTTCTGGACCCTCACATTATAAGGTGTCAGACATATGCCTCTGAATGAGTCCTTCATGTCTAAGGTCACCCCTGTGTCCCAGCAGGTATCACGAGTGGATGAAATCAGAGGAGCTGCAGCGTTTGACAGCCTCAGAGCCGCTGACCCTGGAGCAGGAGTATGCCATGCAGCGCAGCTGGCAGGAAGATGCAGACAGTGAGGAGTGCCCCCCACTCCCCCTAGCCCTGGTACTAGGAGGGCTGATCCACAGTCAGTCTCCAGGTTCCCTCCCTTTCCCAGTCCCGGCTACAGAAGTTTTGTGAAAAGCCTGAAAGGTGCTGGAACTCCTGTATTCTCATGCCGCTGAAGCCTGTCCCTGTGGCTGACCCTTCTGTCCTCTTCCCCACACACTGCGTTGGGCTTGGAAGGATTTAGAGAAAGTAGAGCATCTGGGGCTCTGGCTGTAAATTTCCACCCTGCCCCTCACATCCCTCACCACAGCCTAGTGTGGTGACCATGCTCCTCTGTCTTCCCTGCTGTCTTAGAATTTGGTTGCTGGTTGGAGAGGCTTTTTCTGTAGGAGGCAGATTTGGACTTTTGTAATGAGCTGAAGGAAGCTCTGGGACCCCCTCTTCTCCTGGCAGACTCAGAGATGCTGGTGTTCTGCAGTGCTCTGGTTTGGGTAGGAATACCATCCTCTCTTCTCTCCCCTGGGAAGTGTGTGTGATAGCCCTGTCACCTCCTCCTCAGAGTGTACCTTCATTGTGCTGGATGCCGAGAAGTGGCAGGCCCAGCCAGGCGCCACCGAAGAGAGTTGCATGGTGGGAGATGTGAACCTCTTCCTCACAGATCTAGAAGACCCCACCTTGGGGGAGATCGAGGTCATGATTGCAGGTTTGTTTCACCTAGCCCTGCCTTCCCCCGACTCTTGGCTGTCAGATATGCTGACTCTGAGCCTGCAGAGGCCACGTAGGGTGGACACTCACAGGGCTCACTGGGAGGCTCCATGTTGGTGAGCCCAGGGCCTGGCTGGGCAGCCTGCCCACCTAGCCCCCCTCAGCCTGGTGGTACACCCTCAGGCACATCACTTTACTCCTTGTGCTTAGGCGTGAACTTAACCCTTGGTGTGGGGTACATTCAAGGATGGTCAGTCCCATACTTGGGGTGGGCTGGGGACCCTCAGAAAATAAATGGTCTTCTCTGGAGCATCTTGTCATATTACAGGGGGAGGCTCTCCTGTTTCTGCTCCTTCTTGGTCCTCAGTTTCCCCCAAGTGGCTACTGACTATCCCCGTGAAGCAGCATACTGACTCCATGAGGTAAAGGAGTCAGCTTTGAAGTCAAATTGCTGGGTTGCAAGCTGTGAGGCCTTTCGCACTTCTCTGTGCTTGTTTCCTTGTCTGCAGAATGGTAATGATAGTAGCAACTTCAGAGTTATTGAGAATTAAATGAGATGGTGTCTGTCAAGTGCCCACACTGGGGCCTGGCACATGGCATCAGTGCCACTCCTGTTGTTTCTCCTAGAACCCAGCTGCAGGGGTAAGGGCCTTGGCACTGAGGCCGTTCTCGCGATGCTGTCTTACGGTAAGAAAGTGTGAGCAGACAATGCGGGAAGTGGCCAGGCCCCACATGAACTTTGTTCAGGTCTGAGGGTTGGGGGCAGGTGAAGGTTCCTCCTCTGCAGCTTGGGACAGGAGGGGTGGGGGTAGGCGCCTCCTTACTTGCCCCTCTCTCATCTCTGCGAGGAGTGACCAGACTAGGTCTGACCAAGTTTGAGGCTAAAATTGGGCAAGAAAATGAACCAAGCATCCGGATGTTCCAGAAACTTCACTTTGAGCAGGTAAGGATGTCCTTGGGCGGAGTGGGGCCTAGACCTCGGTGGTGGGCCTGGTGGTGTTAATACTGTAACTTAGCAGGCTTTGTTCTCTCTGGCTCACGTAGGTAGCTGCGAGCAGCGTTTTTCAGGAGGTGACCCTCCGACTGACAGTGAGTGAGTCCGAGCATCAGTGGCTTCTGAAGCAGACCAGCCACGTGGAAGAGAAGCCTTACAGAGATGAGTCAGCAGAGCCCTGCTGATGGCTGGGCCTTGTGGGCAGCCACCCTGTGTGAGCAGGGTGTTGGGCCCACGCACTCCAAAGACCAGAGCCCTGCACTGGGAGAGTGGTCCTGGCCCAGCCCCAGGCTGGGAATCACCTTTCGGGGCCCTTCAGACTGTGGCGGGGCTTGCTGTGGCCTCCCTCCAGCTGGTGGTGTGGCTGAGCAGACTCCAGGGCCAGGGCCAGGGCCAGTTCCCTTCTCCCCTCCTGGCCAAAGCCAGACCCAGACTCTAGGAAACTGGAATGGAGGGCAGGAATCCATGGGAGATGTTGGGATGAAGGTGGGAGCTGGAGGTGCAGGGGTACCTGGAGCATGGATGGGAGTGGAGAGACCTTTCTCCCTGGAGGCCAAAGGTGCTGCCCTGGCTGGGAGTGAAGCTCCAGGCATGGTCAGCTTTCCTAGTTTTCCCATTTAGTCTGTATCTAGAGCTACCAGGAGGCCCAGCCTCCGTGTCTACTCAAGGGCAGCTGGGTCCTCTTGTCCTGCAGAAGCAGGCTGCTGTGACCCTGGGAGCTTGACCCGGGAACAACAGGTGGTCCAGAGAGAGTGTGGCCTGGCCCCTTAACCTAGCGTCCCTCCTCCTCTCTCCTGGAGCCAGTCTTGAGTTTAAAGGCATTAGTGTTGGATACAGCTCCTTACAGCTCCTTGTGGCCGGAGAACACCCCTCTGTTGATGAAGCTCAGGGTGCACTGAGGAAGCAGAGGCCCCTCGGGGTGCCCTCCTGAAGACAGCGTCAGGCCATCAGCTATGTCCCTCTGGTGCTCTCACATCCGCTCTTCACCCTGCACCTCTAGGAGCAGCTGCACCTGACTGGCCACGCGGGGGCAGTGGAGGCACAGGCTCAGGGTGGCCGGGCTACCTGGCACCCACGGCTTACAAAGTAGAGCTGGCCCAGTCTCCCTCTACCTGAGGGGAGCACTCTGACTCCTAACAGTCTTCCATGCCTGCCATCATCTGGGGTGGCTGTCAAGAAAGGCCGGGCATGCTTTCATAACACAACCACAGGAGGCTTGCAGGGTATTTTCCAGGCGGGGAAACAGTCTTAGATAAGTAAGGTGACTTGCCTAAGGCCTCCGAACCCCCTTGATCCTGGAGTCTCACACCAGACTGCATGTGAAAAACTGAAACTGAAAACGTGCCTCAGTATAAAACGAACATCATAAAATGAACGTGTTGTTTGCCGTGGCTCCCTTCGTTCCACGTGTACCTCAGCAATGGGAGTTCCCTCGAGGCCACCCATTCCTTCCACCAGTCTTCAGGTTAATGAAGAGTCAAAGGTCCCCCAGGGCTTCCCCATCTGGCAGATGAGGTAGGGAGGGGCCCCTCCACAACCCCTGTCGGGGAATCTGTCAGGGGCCAAAGGGTAGAAGCAAGGGAATCTGTCAGGGGTCAAAGGGTAGAAGCAAGGGTGGGGTGGGGACAGGTCAGCTGAACAGGGCGCTGTTGTGATAAGGGTTTTGGATGGTTCCTCTAACAAGGAACAGATGGCCAGATAGTGACTGGTCTGCGGACACGGACACGGCCCACTCCCTGATTCCAGATCTTCCTGCTTTACTCATTCCCCTCTGCCCGGAGCCTGTCTTCTGAGAGGTGTCCTTTGGGTTGGGTGGAGACTAGCCTGGGGGCACCTTCCTTCTGAGCACCTGCCTGGAACTTCTCGGCCCTGCAGCCTAGCTCTTGCAGGCCACCTTCCCAGACCTCCACATCAGGCTTCGGGTGCCAAAGGTATCAGGGACTTGGGTCTTTTGTTGGGGATAGGGCATTTCGCCCTTGAAAAGTCCCTTCCACCCCACCTAGCCACACAGCATGTCCCAGGGCTCAGTGGACCGGTTTGTTTTCCCCTGGCACTGGACACTTGCCCTCCAATCAGGTCACAATGGCCAGATAAGATAGAGGATCTGGCACCAGCCCAGCCTGCCCCTGGGAATCCTGCACCCCACTGGCTGTAGGCAGAAAGAGTAAAGCCAAGTCCTTACATTCCAAACCCAGCTCCATCCTGGGACACACTTTCCACGCTTCTGGAATTACAGGAACCTCCCAGAGTCCTCTGAGCATGTCTGAGCTCCCACTTCCTCTGGTAAATGTCCCTATTAGTCAAGGGGTCCCTAGCCCACATCAGTGCTTACAGCCTGGGACACAGGCACACTGACCACCAAGCTGAACACCCGGCTGGGTACATGCATCCTCCTTCCCACAGGACTTCCGCAGCTAGGCCCTCTAGCTAAAGCTACTCAGGCTTGGGGTCACAGGGAGCCCTAGATGGCCCTCCCTCCAGTGTACGCCACCCTCCCAGCCAAAGACCACCCTGGCATACCATTTCTCACTTTCTACCTATAAGGGGTCCAAGGCCAGAGGACAAAACTCCCAAGGAAGACACAGAGGCTGGAGGGTTTGGAGGAACCAGCTGAATTTCTGAAGTGTTTCCTTACAATGGTGGTACCTGGCTCAGGGATGGGCAGGGGTAGCCAAACCCTCCCCGTGCTGCCCAGTTCTCTGAGGGTGGGAGTAGGAACAAAAGTTTAAGGCTGAGGCCACTGCCATGCCCTGGATGCAACAACCAGGAAAATCATGTTAATCAAGGAAACAAAAATTCCTCTAGACTCTGCAATACTGCACTCTTAACAACAACAAAAATCAAATGAAAGCAAGATGTGTCTGCCACAGCTCTCAGGATAACGGATGCCCTGTCCACTGAGAGCGGCAGTTCTGCAGTCAGTGATCAGCCCTGGACCCAGTTATCACACGGGGGAGGAAGGAAAGGTGCCCTCTCGCCTGGTCCCACGATCCTGGCATGGTGCAGGTCCCAGCGATATCCCAGGCAGAGTGGCAAAGGGACACCTGGTAGGATGAGGCACTCAGTGAGGAGGAGGGAGGCAGAGTCTCCTTTCTAATTGCAGGATGACGGGAACACATTCACCTTCCCTAAGGTAAGGGAAGAACATAGTTCTCTAGAAAAATCATTTGTCAGGAAAGGGCATGTGGGTGCTGATTTGTACGTTGATTCAGGGGAGTAACTGGGGAGAAGGAAAAAGGTGGGGTGGAAGGCTGGCTCGGCCCTGCCAGTCACTGGGTGGCTGGCAGCAGGGCGCTCAGAGGTTGCTGAAGAGTTCGTTTTTCTTGCTCCAGTCCATCTGCGGGGCCCGTTTGCTGCTGCGCTTCTGGTGGGCCCTCTCTTTGGCCATGGCCAGGGAGATGTTGAAGTCCAGGATGGGGTCGGAGGAGGAGGTAGACGAGGGTGCTGTGGAGTCCTGTTTTGGGGGGCTGTCTTGGGAATTCAGCTGTAAAGAGAAGTGGGGGCAGGAAGTTGGGAGTCAGTCCCTCATTAGGCTCCCTGGTCCTCAGCCTCAGTGAGGTGGCTCCCTTGGGGCCGTGCCCAGGGAAGCCAGGTCACAAGAACAGAATGCAGCTCAGCATGTGACCTCAAAGGCAGGCTGGTGTGCCAGGAACAAGTGGGGCCTGGGAATCGGCTTCCTGTAACCCAGTTGCTACCCCCTGCATGGCTGGCCTACCTCCTCACTGGTGTCACTGGAGGCGGATCTCACCAGGGTTGGCCTGGGGCTTTCTGAGGCTGCCTCTGCCAAGGCTTCACGACTGTTCTCCTGGCAGAGAGAAGAGGGGTGTGGGTTGTCACAGGATGGGGTGAGGGAGACCTGAGGCAGGAGGGAGCTCCTGGGGAAGTAGGGGCCCCAGACTGAGAAGAGGTAGCGCTGATGCCCTGGCCGCCCACCCTGGGTTGCCACCGCCGGAGCCTGCTGGGGCTCCTTTTTACATTCCTTCGAGGATCAGAGGGCAGGCTGGTTCTGCTCAGGCTGGAGGGATGGGAGGGGTACAGATATCATGGGATTAGCGCTCCCTCCCCCTGGGCTGCTCCAATGTGGCTTTTAGATACTGACTTGCCTTTTGAGCCAGTGACCAGGGAGGGGCTTCTTGGAATGTGGGGACACTGAAGGCCTCTTTGCTTGGCATGGGGAACCTATGTGGTGCTCCCTGAATCTCCTGTGGTCCACCTGACTGTTTGCCTGGATTTAACCCCAGGAATCCTGAAACCCTAACCCTGAAGCAGCAAAGGAGGGCCTTGAAGGAAGAAAGTAGATGGAACGTTCTAGATCCAAAGATGAGGTGACAGAAGGTTTAGGCCTGGGTCCAAGGACCCTCCCCCTTGTCAAGTACCCTGGCAGGAGCTCCTAGGGAAGGGGAACCTTTGAGCAGACCCTGCAGAAAGTTCCTACTCTGTGGCCTGACTGAGTCAGCCTGTCCCAGAGCGAAGGCTTTGGCTGGGGCGTCAGCTTGGCACCCAGCCCCTTCCTGGGTTCTTCCATGGCTTCAGCTGGCGCCCAGCCCCACCATCTCTTCCCCAGCCTCACCCCCTTTCCCTTCTGCCCAGGGAAGGGGGGAGGAGGGGCTTTGTTCTTCCAACCCAGACTGGAAGTAGCAGGGGCCCGGCTGCCCGTGGCCAGACACTGAAGCTCTGTTCTTGGGGGGAAGAATGGCCCCTTCTGTATGGTGGGGAGTTGGAGGCGGGGGCTTGTCACCCAGGATGGCGGGCTGCAGAGGGGCCCAGCCAGCCCTCTCCCTCCCAACAGCTTTGGCCCCAGGCAGAGGCCAAGAGGGTTCTGGCAGTTCTATAGCTTGGAGCCGAAGAAGGAGCTGGAACTGGGGACCCTGAGGTTTTGGCCTTAGCCAGATGGCTATCCTACCAACCATAGCACCTTCTGACCTGTCTCCCGCACCCCCAGGATTGAAATCCAGAGAAACAGGGGACCCACCCTTACCTTCTGTATCTCGCCATTGGTGAAGGGCTCAGGCAGGGGACCTAGGCGAAGGAGAGAGCAGAGGTGAGTCCGGAATGGCGATGGAATAGAGCGTGGAGAGGAGGCGGGAGTTGGGGTTGGGCAGATCATTAGATCTTGTTCCCTGGGTCAACATCTCAAACTTTTCTGATGTCCACCCACCATGAGTACATTTGCCTTGTTATTTATTTAAAATTTTTTTTTTATAGAGATGGGGCCTTGCCATGTTGTGCAGGCTGGTCTCAAACTCCTAGCCTCAAGCAATCCTCTCACCTCGGCCTCCCGAAGTATTGAGATTACAGGTGTGAGCAAATGTCTGGCCTATGTTTGCATTTTGATGACTCAGCACACACAAAAATTTTGTGTAACAAAAGTTTCACAAAGCAATACCCTTACTACAGTGTTCTTTGATATTTTTAATTTCATGTCATTAAAAAAAACAAAAAAATTTCTGGGCCAAGTGTAGTTGCTCACACCAGTAATCCCAGCAATTTGGGAGGCTGAGGCAGCTGGATCACTTGAGGTCAGGAGTTCGAGACCGGCCTGGCCAACATGGTAAAAACCCTGCCTCTACTAAAAAAGACAAAAAGAAAATTAGCTGGGCATGGTGGCACACGCCTGTAATCCTAGCTACTTGGGAGGCTGAAGCAGGAGAATCGTTTGAACCCAGAAGGTGGAGGTTGCAGTGAACCAAGATCGTGCCACTACACTCCAACCTGGGCAACATAGCAAGACTCCGGCAAAACAAACAAACAAACCCTGCTGGTCTCTATCTACCAAAATGATCTTATGAGGCACTGGTGGGTCACAAGGTGTTTAAAAAATGCATTGTCCCGGATGGAGATGAAATTCCAGGATGGCTGCCTAATTCCTATCTGGGAACTCCTACATGGGAAGCTTGTTAAAGTATAGATTCCTGGACCTTGGCAGCACCGATTCTGGTTTAGTGGGCAGGCCTAGGAATCAGCATTTTCCAAACGCTTCCCAGGTGATGATGATGACACCGAAATTGGAACCACACCCCAGACTACAGTTAGTATCTGCCTCAACTGAAAGAGAAAATAGTCCGGGCTCGGTGGCTCATGCCTGTCATCCCAGCACTTTGGGAGGCCGAGGCAGGTGGATCACCTGAAGTCAGGAGTTCGAGACCAGCTTGGCTAACATGGTGAAACCCTATCCCTACTAACAATACAAAAATTAGCCGGGTGTGGTGGCGTGCGCCTGTAATCCCAGCTACTCAGGAGGTTGAGGCAGGAGAATTGCTTGAACCCAGGAGGCGGAGGTTGCAGTGAGCCGAGATTGTGCCACCGCACTCTAGCCTGGGCGACAGAGTGAGACTGTGTCTGAAAGAAGAAAAAAAAAAAAAGGCCAGGCACAGTGGCTCACACC